CAGCTCTATCAGCTCACCAGAGAGCTGGCAGCTAAAAGATTAATACCTCTCTGATATCAGTTCCAGTCAGATTTTGTAAGCCATGTTTGTGTTTCTATTTCTATCCTACAAGAACATGACAGAAAGCCTGTTGTCACCTTCAACAGCTTGAAAGTAATTGTACACTACTAAAAGAAACACTTTGTGCAGAATTTCTGAATGACTACTGAAACTGTAACAGAATGCCTTCTGTATAAAAAAGGGGCTTTTCTGTAAAGTGAATAAATGCCCCAATGCTAAACCTAAAATAAAAATCATCACTGAAAAGACATCTGCTCTATCCCACCTCAAACAGCAAAGAGCCCAGAAACAATAGCCCTTGTTTTCAACTTTATGAACTCCCTTAGCCCATGTGCAAATCACTGCAAGGACAAAGAAGCAACTCATCTCTACCAGCCCTCTCTTTCAGACACAGACACACTGATCTCACTGTCTGTGGGGGATAAGAGGTGTGGCATTTTCAAGAGGGACCATGTTTGACTTGCAGTGGGTTTACGTTGAGAGGAACAGATCTCCAACAGGCTGTATGATTTACTGACCACTGCACAGAGGTCAGTTTAGATGAGGGACTTCAGTTGTCCAAAAAGGGGTCACTGCATCACCTTTCAACTCGAGATCTGGTCCCACACACCACTAAATAAAACCCAGAAAAAAAAAAAACCAAACAGCCCAAGCAGGCTTCTCCTATGAAGCAAGACAACTGCAGTGAATCAAGCTGGAGTCTCATCTGCCCCATTGAGCAATATTTCAGCAGAATTTTAATTGGCTGGAGATGCCGAAATCACATGAAAAGAAAAATAATGTTGATTTCCAAAAGTATCAGGCAATGTGATTAAAATGGTCAGGAGCAACAATCAGCATGGCTTGAATACTTAGAACTTGCAGTTCACTAGAAGACAGTACATGTCCAGTTTGATAATTTTAGAAAATGGCTTTAATTTTGAGCTGAAAAAATCTTCCAAGTAGAGTCATACTTCCTTTAACTGCTATCAGAAAGTTTTTTAATGTGTGGAAATACTTACTATTGCCTTCACTGGTATATCAGTCATAACATCTAATGATGTGGAGATTGTTGCCTTATAAAATTCACAGCTGGGTAGCTACATGGCTCAAGGCTAAAACCTATTTTAAAATCCAGTGTTTTAGGAGGCAGAATGTTTATTAAAACATTTTGCCCATTAAAAATATATGACATATCATCGGTCATTCCATGTGATGCAGTGCCAGCCCTTTTTTAGGCAGTCCACTTGGGATGACTGCTGAAAACCTGGCAAGTCTGTTTGACAAGTCCACATCCTAATAATTTACTCATCCATTAAAAAAAAAAAAAAAAAGGCATTCCAGCAGCCTGGAAGAACCTCAGCAGTGCCCCTGATGTGGTGTGCCCAGAACTCGCCTGCACACACAGCCACAGTTGGTCCCTTCACGCTGACAGTCCCACACTGACATGCCTGCTTGATCTCCTCATGGCACAAGTTACACTGAAATAATAATGAGGCTGCAGGTCTTTTTTCCTGTTGTTTTTTTTTTTTTTTGGAAATGTGGTGGAGAGAAATGTTGATAAATATTCTTTCAGCGAACTCCACGGGCATTTGGCATCCGCTTCCTTGAGCTGATGCATGTCCTAACCTGGAGAACACAAGGCTGACTACTTTGAGGCTAAACAAAACCCAGAATCACTGTCTCTTCTACCATTCCCCATGTGCACTGTGCAAGGAGAGATGCTGGGACTCCTCAGGAAGGACACCTTTGTTATGGGCGAATGTCCCTCTAAAACAAGAATTCCCCCTGAAGCCAGTGGGATCACCCAGGGAGGAACTGATCACTAACCATCTGATCCCACCTTACAGACAGCCGGCACATCAATTAGTGCTTGACAAAATTGTCTGAAAAACTCTGACACGAAGTTGAAACTGCTTGGATATGGAGAGATGGACATGCAGCCAAGGTCATCTATTCTCCCAGGTTATTGCTGCCCATCCTGCAGCTCCCTCTCAGTCTGGCTGGCAGCAGCAGGTCTCTCCATGACCCGAGGAACAGCACAGCCCTTCCCAGCTGCCTGCAGCAATGCTTCCATTGGGATTTTGCCTCCTGCAGTGGCACAGCCAGGAAGGCCAAACAGGAACCAAGATGTCTCGCTCCCTGAACTGCTGATACACTTCTGGATACTCAAGGAGGGTGAGGATGAGAGCAGACTGGACTGCCTGAACACAAGCAGGATGGCGGGTTCCCAGATCCAAGGTGGCAGCCAGGTTCTGCGTGGTGTTTGCCTTGTCAGGCCTAGCCAGAGTTCTCACAGGTGGCAGAGTTATCTGCTCTTCCTGCTCAACACACAAAAGAGAGGGCCAAGCAGAGAACAAGAGCTCTTAAAATGGTTTTTGTACTGCAGCAGAGGTTCCTCTGAGAAGTTCAACACAGTCATGTCCTGGGGCCCCAAGAAAGCACAGCCCATCCAGTATGTCTTGATTATAAGAGACTCCAGCTGAGCCTTTGTTCTGGACTAACTCTCCAGCAAAAGGAACGCCATGTTTTATATTTGAAACAGAAATGCTACCGCTGCTAACGACCAGGAAAATAATCCTGACCTCATTGCACGTTCCCTTGTCTGACAAAGTATGGATACCGTTATTCATATTTGTACTGTACAAATGTTCCCAAAATGTCAGCCTTTCCTAATGACCCTAAAGAGACTGGAAATTAAAGTGCAGTTCTGGGCAGGGAAGCGACTCTATTAAAAAGAGACAGAGAGAGCCTGTGGTCATTGCCCATAGCTGTTCCGAGCTGCCTTCCAAGTCCTATATATTAACCAAGCCTATGCACAAAAGCCATGTTTTTAACTACTGTCAGCACTGCACAGTCACTCCAGCAGCAATCGAGCAAGCTGTTCTGCCTCATGCCTCATCACCATTTCTCACACTCTGCATCAAAGCACCAACATTAGCCAATTCAGCTGCCCTTCAAACTTCCAGCTCCAGTCAGGAGGAAGCATCTGCGGCTGTTCAGCTCCTTGTGAGGCTGCCGAAAAAAATCCCAGCTTGCCAGGAATGCCCAGAGTAGCCAAGCCTGATGGCTATCCATGACATACGGCCTTAGGACAGGCCAGACAGCTGTGAGCAGCTCCCCATTCCTACACTGTGCTCCGGTTCCCGCTCCAAACCCCTCCCGGCAGCACGGATGAGCTGCAGGCTCTCCCAAGGCACTGCTGCCGCTCAGACGTCGAGAGCAGCAGCTGTCGGCAGGGGAAGAGGCACCCTTCACTCGTGGCTAAGATCACTTCCCAGTGACACGGCACAGGCTGGCACCACAGAGGCTCCAGCGCCCCGTCTGCTGCCGAGCAAGGAGCTTGCACTGCAGCAGTCACTCCAACGGCAGGAACGCCGTCAGAAGCCATCCATCAGCTCAGCAGACTGGAGGAAAACAAGAAACAGAGTCAAGATCGGCTTCGGGCGAGAGTACCACAACTCCAAGTCCTCACAGCTTAACGTGCACAGCACAGACAGGGAGTTCAGTCACTGCTGCGTTTGTCCCAGAACAGACTGTGCTACCGTCATTCCAAGGTCACAGAGCAGGGAGCAGAAGCGGAACAGAGTCCTCAAGCCCGGTCAAATCTAAGTGCTCTGACACCACTTTTGGAACATGCTGATGAGTCTTGTATGACTGACGAGACGCAGTACACAGCACGGTTTGTGAGTCAAAGGAAATGGCAAAGAGGATGCAACTGGAGAACAGCACAGCAAAATCCCCCAAAAACACTTCTAAGACTGGGAAACTATCTTCTATGGACCTTGCTTAATGTTTGACAACTTAAAAATCAACATATTAGCTTAAGTATAGGGAATTAATGGATAAAATAGACAAATAATTTGAAGAAAAAAGGGGAAAATTGGGCAGGAAAGCAGGCTACGATTTCCTTCCCTCTATTCTCTGCAGAGAGTTTTTAGTCCAAACAATGGCTGAAGAGGAGCATTCCAGACCTCCCAGGTCAACATCAAGATGGGACCGGGGCAACTACTGTCATGAAAAATAGACAAAAGACATTACAAAATAACAGAATAAAAACAATCAGAGGGCTTGGCTACATACTGTACTTGGTTCTTCACCAACTTCCCAGCACTCCACCCTTCCCATACACTGCATCCTCCACACATCTTGGCACTTATGAGTCTCTGTGACTTAAAGAAGCCAGACAGAGCACGAGGATGAGAGAGGGAACTTGAACTGTGTGTCAAAAAGATGATGTGATTCCAATTTTAGTAATCAAAATAATTGAGGAAAACCTAAAGTCTCCTAAGACAAACCAGAGTAGCAAGGGCAAAAACCCAGTCCTGGCAGGCAGGCAAAAATATACACAGTGCAGTCAGCAAAAAGATAATAATTTCCTCCCATTTCCTGTATCTTTATGAAGCATTTTCAGAGGCAAGGCAAACCTGTATTTTCATATCTCCAGTTTTCAAACTCTACCACTGCTACTTAGCAGAGATTTTGGCATTTAGCAAGACACTCGGGGGGGGAGAGAAAAAAAAAAATCATGATTTGCATGTGCTCATCTTGGCAGATGAGGAATAAACAAGGCAAAAGGAGGTACAGTGAGATGAGCCCAAGTGCCAGTACCCAGGCCTTGTTTGGGATTAAAGTAGAACGTCACAGATCAGATGTAAGAGTGCCTTAAAAGTTTGGAAGAGCCCAGTTGATTTCAGCATAGAAATCCTCATCAGAGCCAAATGAGAAGTTGTAAGCATGACCATAGACACACATTCAACTACCCACAGCAGCCAGTCAGCAGCAGTGAGGATTTACAGCAAAACCCACAACCACAGGGTGACTTTACAGAAAGCCTGTTCTGACTTTTAAGAGCCTTGAAAACACGATCCCCTTTGGGAAATCTACTGTCAGACTCTGACTAGGTGAAGGAGCCTAGGACTTCTACAGGAATAGTCTGGTTCTTTTTTAGCAGTGTCCAAATCCCACGTGCTTCTCCAAAAGTGAAATGAGCTTATGGACCAAAGCTGTCTGCAATTCCTGGAGTATCACCCTTATTATGAATACATCAACTAAACTCACCACAATGAGAAAAAGAGAACTTCTCTAGTCAAAACATTTGGTCTCTAAATGCCATCTGTCATAGCATGAATTCAAGGTGGGATAAAATTTTATTGGCAGGTTGGAGTTAGGGAGACCTTTAAATATGAAAAACAAAAACCCCACACCCTATGCTCCTAAAATTTGAGACTCCACACAAAGGAGTTTTTTTAATTCTACCATTTTCACTGGAAGCAGACTGTTGCACCAGGAAACACCATCCCACACGATTAAGCAGCGCAGCAAACGGCTTCCGTCTTTCCCTGAAAATCCCTTAAGTTCCCCAAAAAATTCCTTTACTTCCACCTTCAGAACCTACTCAGAAAAAAGCCATTTGTCAATTACTTCCAGTTCTTTTGGTTCAGGACTCTATCACGCTGCACAATTGTTCACGTGCATCTGCTCAACACGGAGGAAAAAGATGTTGCTAAATTGGAAGCAGAGCAGTGGGCTGGGCAGCAGAGGTGCCTTCTCCATTGTGTGCACAGGGAGGTTCTGCTGACTGCAAGTGCTCGCACAGCAGGAGAGAGCCCCAGTGCCATCCCTGCTCTTGCTATTGGCAGCTGTTCTCTTATCACCAAAGAGAATTTATCGCACCACTGACAGATGCCCAGATTCAGAAGCTGGAGCTGAAAGGCAAAGGGATTGAATCAGAAAACAAAAACGTCCCCACAAAAAAATAAAAAAAAGAAAGGAAGAGCCCTACCAAACCAAGTCACTTCAGTGCACACAGCACACGGCATCTCTCCACAGGGAGAGCAGAGAGCCGGAGCCACCGCAGCAGATGTCAGGCAATGTGTCTCAGGCGCTCCTGGAAGCTGCTCAGCACTCAGCTGAGGAGCTGCAGGAAACCACGGAGAGTTTAGCCACAAAAATCCTAACAGGGACAGTGTGAGGAAGGAAGACCTTCAGGGAGGAGGGTGTTGAAATCAAGCTTCCTCGGCATTAAGGTCATTATTGAATACAAGGTACTTGAACTCCTAATGCTGTCTGCTGAAGGGAGCTGGTGGATCAGGGGTGTCCCAGGATTTCTGTTCTTACACACACACACACTCTCTCTCTAAGTCTCTTTGACTCTCACACAGCTATGAACCTTATTTTCTTATATGTGACTCCCCGGTGTGCCAACGCCCCAGAGGCCATTTCATAGCAGCTTTGGCCACTTCCAAGAACTAGAGACAGAATCTCTGTGTTGTACAAGACAAGGGGCTTTAGTATCTCCCTTTCCTGGTGTCATGTCAGCAAACACGCAGTGCACACGTGGCCCTGTGCACGTGGATACTGAACCAAGAGCAGAACTCTACACACACGAGCAGCTACACTGTCTCTGTGCCCGTAAACCAGTGCCTGTACTCGAGCCACAGGCTTTGCATTGAAACATCGCTGCACATAGCATTCCAAAATATCCCTCCTCCCTCTCATCCCCAGGGAAAACACAGCTGTGTTTGTCACAGGCGAGGAAACCCCGACCTATGCACCGACATGGCTATGGGCATGATACAAAGAAAGACAGGGATACCTTCCACCAACGTTCCCAAATGCATTCTCCCTACTAAGGCAGGCTGATAACAGATTTCATCCCTGCGGACTAGTCTGCCTTTTACGGAAAACTCTCAACAAGCTGAGTTCTCCCACAGGAGCGCGTCCCAACGGTGGCAAAAGGAGTCCCAGGGCACCTCCCATTTCTTTACTTGTAACGAACCTATGAAAAGCCCTCAAACAAAACTCAGGAGGCGGCGTTTTGCTGGGCACTTCAGAAGAAGAGCATCAAACATGAAGGCACAGCAACCTTGAGGGACACCAGCACCGCCCCGATGTGCACTGGTAGGTGTCTGCAAGGCCCGGGCCCTGCCGGGTGCGCCCTCAAGTTCTACGGAATGAGGATGAAAAGGCAGCCCGAGGCTGCCAGGAGACAGGTCCAGGTGCGGAGGCAGGACCGGCGGCGGCACGGCGGAGCCAGGCTGACACCTGGAGGGAAAGCTGGGGATGAACCGGGAGGATGCTGCCTGGGAGAGCTGTGCCCTCATTGCCGCCTGCCTCGGGTCCCTCCTGTCGACCACCTCTGCCCCCGCCTCCTCCCGACCCGCTGCGGCACAGCTGAGGCGGGCCTGCTACAAATAGGGAAAGGAAAGGCGGAGAAAACACTTGGAGTGTCTCAAAAATCAGCACCGAGAATATTTCCACTCTTTCAGTTTTAAAATTGAACCGCTTTGGGTTTTGCTCACATTCTGCGAAAATCAAAAGAGATATTTGGGTTGGATCATTATTCTTCCCCCGGTTGCTCCCCGAAAAACCAGAGCAGCGCATCAACAGATGCTGTCGGATCTCACACAGTCAGATCAAGTTCCCTTACCAGCTCGACTCCAGATTTGCCGTGGCAGAGTTCCACACTTCTTGTTCCTTAAGTAATTTAAGCATGGTGCAGACACCGAGCAGCAGCTCCAGCTCGGTGCCTCGGGCAGGGCCCCCTACAAAGGATTCCCCGGCCGTTTATCCCCTCGCAGCCTGTGCCCCCGGAGTCTGGCAGCTTCCTGCTGAGTCACCGGCTCTCGTGTCTCGGCGCCGCAGGACCCCGAGCCCTGCATAGGTAACGGGGCAGGTCACAGCCCCTTGCCGGGGGCTGCAGCCACGCCCCCATGCCGGGCACAACCTGCAGCTGCCCCCGAGCTGCCTGGCCTAAATGAGTCCCTCAGCAGGCAGGTAGGGCCAACAGGCAGTTCCCCTCACGTGTGACCTCCTCAGCCACCCCCGCGAAAGCCCTCCCTACCTCTCTCTGCCTGCACGGCTCGCTTCAGCCCCAACAGAAAAGTATGGAACCTCGCAGGCACATTGATCTTTACTCCGAGTTAAGCTTATTTGCCAGCAAAATTCAGGTCCGGTGTAAGAATTAGGACAAGCTACTTACTTACCCGAGAGGTCAATTTAGGTCAAAGCTATCTCGCACAGATGGCTAATTTCAATCCCGAACACATACAACACAATTGGTCAATAAACTGAAAACAAATAGTGGAAGTAATTCATTTAAAGCTGCCCTAATTGTTTCTCAATTTTCCCTATTAATTTGACCTATAACACTTCTCCCATCAAAGCTTCAAAGCTTTAACTTAACAGCCAATTAAAACTTCTTTTAGAAAAAAAAAGTGCTGTCAGCTCTGATTGCTTCTGCCTAAACCCTTTGAAGCGCTTGGGAGTTGATTTAAATTGCACGGGCCTAGAAACAAAGTGCTCTTTCCAGGTATAGTGTTCTCAGGGAGCTAATGAGTCAAGGGATAATTAAGACTAATTACGATTTATAACTTGGTAGCAACATTCTGCGTGCCACTTGGCTTGAGGAAAGTGAGTCACCGCTGGAGCGAACAAGCTATCTCTTGATGTGTCCGTGGGAGCCGGCAGGAATGAACTCAGTTTTTCCCCAGCAGAGAGAGGTTACCAAATTAATGTGGCAACTGTATTCTTATTCTTGCAAAAACACTTCTCTGCAAAAACATCTATCACCTCCCTCATTCTCTAAGCGAGCACTGCACAGAGAAAAGCCAGTGGGACGCTCTCTTGGAAAACGACAGTCACCATATAGGGATCATTACTGTTAGCTCGGCTTCACTACTATGGTTCAGAAATTTTAACTGCAAAGTATACTAGGTTGGACAAAACAGGATCAATTCCCATCAGTCTGGATATTAAACCCCCATCATTCTTACCTTTTACTTCACATTACACACCTCTGCCGCGGGGAAATTCTTCACATTTGTCACACCACTTGGTTTAATGAGACAAAAAATATTGGCAGAGTTGTGCAGGACACAGGACCTATGGGGAGGGGCAGGTGAACCACGATTAATTATCCTGTGGGGCACACCTGTTTGCACCTTCGAAACCAAGAGCCAGAGTACACCTAGGGAATTACTTCTTTACCCCCAGCCCTTTATTTTTTTTGAATAAGGAAAAAAAAAATATTAAAAGGAACTGGCAAATAACCCTCAACTGTTCTTATTGAGGCAACGCAAACCCCTTGTATGAGTCATCCTCATGACTAAAACTTTTTTGGTACCCCATGGAGTATACAGGGAAACCCCCTAAAAGCCAATAATCACGATCTCACCTAACCAGAGCTTGCTCTTGCACGCCTCAAGTGCAACTCCCACTGGGAATGACAACCCTCAGCGTTGTTTCACCTGCCAGGCGCATTCCCGGCCTCTCCTCACAAAGGTTTGCAGCCTCGGGCCTGAGAGGAAGGGCTGCCTGGCCCAAAGGCTCAGCTGTGACATTGCGGGGGGCTGGTGGGCCCCGGGGGGATCCCAGCAGGTCCCGAGGGGGCCCGGGCGGTGCCGGAGGATTCCGGAGGATTCCGGAGGATGCCGAAGGTCTGAGCGGCCCCAGACTGTGTCAGCGGCTCTCGGACGCCCCCTCGCGGCCGCTGCGCACCACGCGAGGAGGGGCCGCGCGAGGAGGGGCCGCGCGGTGACGCCATCGTTTGGCGCCGCGCGGTGACGCCATCGCGGCCGATCCCGATCCCCATCCCGATCCCGATCCCGATCCCGGTGCCGCTGCCCGGCCCGTGAGGGGGGCGCGGGACGGGCCGATGCGGCAGCGGGCAGGATGCACCAGAAGCTGCTGCGCAGCGCGCACTACATCGAGCTGGGCAGCTACCAGTACTGGCCGGTGCTGGTGCCCCGCGGCATCCGGCTGTACACGTACGAGCAGATCCCGGTGTTCCTGAAGGACAACCCCTACATCACGGACGGATACCGCGCCTACCTGCCCTCCCGCCTCTGCATCAAGAGGTGAGCGCGCCCCGCGCCCCCCCCGACCCCCCGGCCCCGCTCACCGCCTGTCCCGCGTTGTGTCTCCTCGCAGCCTCTTCATCCTCTCCAACGAGACCGTCAACATCTGGAGTCACCTGCTCGGCTTCCTGCTCTTCTTCTCGCTGGGCATCTACGACCTGACGGCCGTGCTGCCTGCCGCCGGCGCCTCCCGCGAAGACTTCGTCATCTGCTCTGTCTGCCTCTTCTGCTTCCAGGTAGGAGCGGGCCGGGAGCGCCCCGGGGGTTAAAGCCCCTCACACGGTGCTGGCACAGCGCCCTGTGAGCCGCAGTGCTCCGCAAGGGACAAGCCTCGGTGGGTTGGTCGCATTTCCCTGCAGTAAACTGTGCAGGACTGAACACAGCTGGCACAGGAGAGAGCCTGTGGAAAAACAAGGGCCGTGTCCAGGCTGGGTCTCAAAGCTTCAGCAGCTTGAGAGGTGTCTGACATGGCGCCCAGACAGCACCCGGTGCTACTGGAAAGGGCCTCCCACCGGAGCACGGGCATCAGCCGTGGCCTGATGGTCAGGAAGGGCAGGAGGGCTGGCAGCAGTTCTGACTTCTGAGCTGGTCTGACCGTGAGCTCCTGTGTCACATACATCTGTTGCCATAGCAGACTTCAGGTGTGTCGCGCGTGGCTGCTGAGTCTCCTGTGATGGACACTGGCCCTGCAAGAGCACAGAGCTGAAGGGCACTACGTGTGTTCTCTTCCAGCACAGGATGGCTGGGTACAGCCAGAAGTGGGGAAAACTCCCTCACTGGCTGGAAAAGCACTGCTCTGGTGCTCGTCCCTCCTACTGCCGTGGGGTCACAGAGGAACAAACATTTCTTGAGGACAGAATTTGACGCCAGCCTAGGAGCAAACACACGCTCAATGTGCCGGGGCCCAGCGGCCGGCTTGAGCTGCAGGGCTGAAGCTTATGTGCTCCCTGTTGGTTTTCATCAAGGAATTAATCATCCTCATTTGAACCTCTGTGTAGGTCTGTATGCTTTGCTCAGTAGGATATCACCTGTTCTGCTGTCACCGCTCAGAGAAGACCAGCCGGCGATGGATGGCACTGGATTATGCAGGAATTTCCATTGGGATCCTGGGCTGCTACGTGTCAGGCGTGTTCTATGCCTTCTACTGCAGTAACGTGAGTCGGGAGCATTTTCCATGCAGTGCTTAGTTCCCGTGGTCCTGTAGAAAAGGGGTTTGTGGCAGGTGTCCAAGCAGAACAGGAATGGGAAGAGAGGGATGGGAACTGGAGCATGTCCCCCTGGTCCCAGCACAACTGTGCTGGCTGAAGGGACAGGCAAATGCAGATTTTCCTTTCTAGATGTCAGCTGCACAAAGCCTAAAGAAAATATTTAAATTTGTCTGAAAGCAGGGAAACTTTACAGGTCCTGTCTGTGTCCAGTGCCCGAGGCTGATCATGGGGTGTGTCCCACCACAGGCACTTCACACAGCATTGCCCATGAGGTAGCTGCCAGAAGGCAGAAACAAGCTTGTTTCCTCTCCATCTATTAGAGGAGTGAAATGAGTTCCCTTCCAAGGCCTGCCCTGTATACACTGTCAGGGAGCTGAACTGGGCTGCTGAAGCAGAGGTGCATTGACAGTATTTGGGTGCAGGCACTGCTTGGAATAAGGGATGTGTTACAGGTGCCCCAAGCAATACAGTCCCTTCCCCTCACTGCCAGCTGACCAACACAAGTCCCTGCACTCACACCCACCATGGAGCTGTGTTCTGTCACTGAAACTTCCTGCCCTGAGTTGACTCTTATACAGGATAAGAAACCCACAGACTTGCCTTTGTTTCTCTTTCCCTCAGTACTGGCGCCAGGTGTATTTGATCACTGTGCTGGCCATGATATTGGCAGTGTTTTTTGCTCAGATCCATCCTAGTTACCTCACACAGCAGTGGCACAGGCTGCGCTCCGTCATCTTCTGCTCCGTGTCTGGCTATGGAATCATTCCCACCATCCACTGGGTTTGGCTCAATGGTGGCATTGGTGCATCCATTGTACAGGTAAGAAAAAAGAACGAAATAAGATTCCCTTTTGCTTTTCACTTGCCATCTTCCTTGAGTCCTCTTACACTCAGGGAAGCGACAGGGAAGCAGCACGAGTTAAAATTCCTTTAGCACAGAATTCTTTTGGTTGGTACGATCCAAATGCAAACACTTAGAAATGTGATCGGGGTAGACAGGTTGTATAGGTTCAGCCTGCTGTACTGCCTTAGAGCTGCATGGTGAGAAGCAAAGCTGGATGGAGGTGTGTCCCTGCCTGGGGACAGAGCAGCGGAGGGGGCAAACTGCACCCTCGCTCCACTGGGCCAGGGCCAGGAGCCGAGGTGGCTGTAGAGCAGGAAGCAGTCTGTCAGGCTGCACAAGTGCTCAGGGCTGGCTGCCTCCACAGCTCCACAGGGCAACCAGGAGACACTGATGGGGTGATTATTTGTTTCCTCTTCTATTCCCTGGGTTGGCAGCAGAAATCAGCATTTGCCTGCTCAGCCCTCTACCTCTTGCATGATCCTCCTCTAATAGCGCTGTGACATTATGGAACTCTTGCCCTGTTCACGTTTCTCCACTTGGAATAACCCTGTGAAACCAGAGGCCCAGTACAGCTAAAGGCAGCGCAGTGTGCCCCAGTATGAGACCCCCTGAAATCACTGCTGTTACTCAGGGACCTGATGGTGCCGAAGGAAACATTTCCTTTTCATAGCAAGCAGAAACTGCGTGTTCTTAGGCTGGCCTGGATGGAGGGCGGTCCCTGGGGTGATGGTTTACTCAAGTCCAGAGCTGCTGTGGAATGTGGCAGAGCACAGTTCGGGAATACACATGTGGCCTTCAGACAAGGCATTTGACACCAGCATTCTAAAAATCAGCTCCACAGCAGCTGTCTCCCCATGTCTTCCCTGCTTTGTTTCCCCTGGGACAGCAGGATGATGTCTGTGGTACACATTGTGTTTCCATTCTTCAGAAAAATGCGCCGCTTAGGTAATAAAACTTTCTGCTAAGGAAAACCCACCTGCTGCCTGGGTTGCAGTGTGAGCAGTCCTGTGGCCTCAGGTGCAGCAGCTGCAGTTCCAGTGGGTAAGTGGGATGTGCAGTGCAGTCTGCCTCACCCTGGCTGTTCTGTGTGGGGTCAGGGTGGTGGCAGATGGCCTTTCACTGACAAGTGCCATGTCTGCTGCAGGCTGCACAGGAACACCGAGTACCTTGCATGTAGAAGCAGAAAGGTCGGAATAAAACAAGTTTATTCCCATTTAGGCTTTCTCAGAGTTGGGTGTTTGTTTCCCTGTTGGATTTGCCTGTAGCTGACATACTGCAGTGAAGGAAGATTCAGGGTTTTCATACTGTTTTCTTCTTTATATTCAGGGACTTCTTTTTCTGGTTTTGCTTTCTAACAGAATAGGAGAGCTTCCTTTTCTTTTGCAGGAGTTTGCTCCGCGGGTAGTTGTCATGTACTTCATCGCTGCTGTAGCTTTTCTCTTCTATATTTCCAAAGTTCCAGAAAGATACTTCCCAGGTAGGAGACTCTCTTCTGGGTGGTGTTTTTTTTCCCTGCAGTGTCACAGTCCTTGCTGTGGGTGAACTTCCTGGGAGAGAACAGGCTGAGCACATTCCCATGCAGAGTAAAATGGTGCACGTGTTTGCACCAGAAGAGGCAGACAACTTCCAAGGAGTTCGTTACAGAACTTTGCCTGCCTCCCCGCCAAGTGCAGGGTGTGCTGGAGCTATGCAGGAGGCTGATTACTAATTGCACTGCACTCGCTGTGGCTGAATTTCACAGCTTAACCCCTCGCCTTTGTTGCCCACAGGCCAGCTGAACTACCTCGGCTCGAGCCACCAGGTGTGGCACATCCTGGCAGTGGTGATGCTGTACTGGTGGCACCAGTCCACGGTGTACATCATGCAATACCGACACAGCAGGCCCTGCCTCGAGTACGGCGTGGACTTGTGAACAAAGGTACAGCCTCGGGCAGTGGGATAGTCTAACAACCACAGGCTGAAACCATCCTGGGTTTAACCCCAGCTCACTTCCCCAGAGCAGGTGCAACGCTTCCTGTAAAGAGAAAGCGGGGATCTGATGCCAGGCACTCTGTTGCACTGGATGAGGCTCTGTGGAGCTGCTGGGGCCTTGAACAGTTCTAGAGCAGGCTGAACTAAGCCCTGCCACATCCCCTCTAGCTCTGTGTCCCAATTTTAATAGCCTCAAGCTATCATTACTCTTTGTCCCCTTTTTCCTGGAAAAGGCTTTTTGTGGAAATCAGATGAGTTGCTGATTTCATGTCCCCAGTAGGTGATTCACCTTGTTTCCCTGCTCTATTTCAGAGGCACCATGGTGGGATTTCTGACTCCGAGGGTCTGGACCTCACGTAACGAGCTGTGCTATGGACTGAAGCACTGAGGTAGTTCCTTTCCTGACTCCTGGACTGTTACCCTCTTGCTGGGAGAGAGCATTACCATGAGCTCTGATAAACCCCATAGCATAGCCTGGGATCTGGGAGACGTTTCCTTCTCAGCCACTTCCTGTTCCACAATCAATTACCAAACAGGTCTTCCTCAAGCAGGACAGTGGGGAGCTGGGCTGTCTAACTCAGCATGCAGATCCCAGTAGGACTTTTTGTTGCCTGGTAGAGACAAACAGCAGAAGTGAATACCCTTGGCTGAGCCAACAGGTCTGGACACCAGGGTTTTGGGTAATGTTCAAGCGCATAATTAGGAGGATGCTTCTGACAGTGTGCCTGTAAAACCGTGGGAACTCTGGGACCCAGTCCTGCATCTGAAGCACAGCCCTGTGGTCTGTGCATCCTTCAGCCTTGGCCCGGAAGGCGTTCTTGTGCTTCAGCGTTGGCACAGGAACAGGTAAACTGGAATTCAGTGGACTTGTGTTCTCTTCTGGACAAGCTCTTTCCATTTTCCTGGACGTTAAGATCACATCCAGCACACCTAGATCTCTATTGCAGATCTTACAAATTGCCTTCATTAGGGGCAGTGGCATCGCTTGAAGTTTCTCTAGATCCCTTCAGTGTTGTGAAGTGTTCCCAGAGAGGCACCAAGCCTGTGTGCCCATGTTTGTTGCTGTCTTGCAGTCAGTG